GTGTATGGTCTGAGCACTGACAGGCTGACCCCCCACCCCTTCAACCTCTGCAGCAATGCTGGCAGCACTCATACGCCTATTTCCCAAACACATCCTCTGGATATGACGCTAAGCACATGCATTAGCAAAGTGTCATTTCTTCAGTGTTGTCACATGAAAAGATATAATAAAATATTTACAAAAATGTGAGGGGTGTACTTCTTACTTCTGTGAGATAGTGTATATAGTATAGTGTGTGTGTATATATATATAATATATATATAATAACATGATAATATACATTTTAAAAATAATGCTGAAGTCTGTTTACACAGCCATTTTGTCTGCAGTAGCTAAACATGTTGAGCCTCAAAAGCCCCTTTCACACACAGATTCCGGAAAATACACGGATAATGTGTTCCGTGATTTGTCCTGGGATCGTTTGATTTTGGTTCATTCTCACTGCCAGTGATTTTCCGGAATCTGTGTGTGCGTTCACACACATCGCGTAAAGACACATGACGTGTAATGTGACACGTACCGTTTCACTAAGCTGGTGAATGATCTCAGCTTCAGGGCGGATAGTGAGGAGCTCCCTGATCTCTGCTTCATACCAGTTTGCACATATTTTTTCTTCGCAAATGTTGATCTGCCTTCAAAACACCCGGTAAAAGAGTCGCACGATAACGTGCGTCATCACTACGACACACCCTTTACGGCATTGGTTCTGGCTTTTGTTCACACAGGGCTCATTCTGGGACTGATCCCGGCAATGTTACTAGGTCCCCAACCCGGGATCGATCCCGGAATCAATCCCGTGACGTGTTTGTGTTCACACAGAAGGCACTCCGGCAATTTTCCGGGACCAATGTGCAGTGTGAAAGGGGTTAAAATGGCACCAATTAGCTCTTCTGTATAATTTTGCCATAGTCTAATTTCAAAATATGCAATTTTAGCATATTTACCCAAGTAGTAACTAGGGCTGTCAAAATGGCTGAAAAACTAAATTTGAATTTTGTACTTAAACATGATCATAATTTTTACATAATTTTTAGTAAGGGTGAAGAAAAGCTTTTGGCTTCTCTTCTGAGGCCACAAGAGGGCGCATCGAGCAAAATATTACTAACGCACGTTTATTCAAAGCATAAGATAACATGACTATCTTTGATAAAAGTGCATAATGTTTAAAATAATGTTTATAAATCAATTATAATTAATTAAGTTGCTTAAACAACTATATACAAAACAGCATCATGTATGTATGCATAGTTTAATACAAAGGGCGGAAAGCCAGTCACACAGAGAAAGTTCAATTTTTCATTTAAAAACATGAGATGCAGTGGGATGGGGAAAAAACCCGCCATAAAGTCTCGATATATGTTTTTTTCAAAGTTAAACTTGCATTAATTTTACATGGCTTTCTAAACATGCGGCTCCTTTGTGTGAGAAGCGAGTGCAACGGTGATAGATGTCCCTCTAGAAAATGTGCGAAATATGTGTTCTGTGTGAATGGCTTGGTTTCAGTTTTGATGTAAACAAGATCTTCTCCGCATTGTTCTCTTTTTCCGCAATATTTTTAATGAACAACGCAGCA